ATATATATATATATATAGGAGCAGTCGTTCTTCCACGGATGTTGAAACTATGCCGAACAGAGAATTCGCATTCGCATGACTGTGCAATGACCAACGACTTTTTCTACTATTGTCGATCAAGATAATGATAAGATAACATGACGCAGCGAAATTGAAAGGTAACTTCCGTTATGTTCGAACCACGATGATTTCTGATAATAGCGTCGCGCATTATGGTAGACGTGAAAACAAGAACGAGTAAAATTTTGACATCATTTACGAAAAGAAAATTACATCTAACAAAAAAAATAACCGAAAGCATAAAATGATGTATAAACACAAGAAATATCTCACGACTAAAAAAGAAAAAGAAAGTCTTGATTAAAATTTGTGCAACGTGCAAATATTGCTAAAAATTCTTTTTATTCTTCTTTCGCGAAAGAAATAAAAATACGCAGAACTGTTTTGTACATAACTCTCAATACGTTGTACGAGAAAAGATTTCGACTTTGTAAACGACGCTCTTGAGGAATTGCGAGAGGCGTACGCTTGTCAAAGAAACATTCTCAAAATTTTTGCCGATGAGCAAAATCATCGGAACGCCAATATTTTTTTTTTTGGAAAATTTTTTTGATAAGTGAACAGCTGATTTCGAGCTCGCGGCTCGTGCTCCGCATGAAATAATGCGAATGAAATTTTGCGATTAATTGAGATAGGCCTGGTGTGACGGTTTTCGGCTCGTCAAACAATTCGGAAGAATTGCGAATAAAGCACGCGCGCGCGCACGCATTCAACGTGGGTAGGCCTTTCCAACCTACACGCGCACCACACTCCAATTTATTCGCCATCATCCCACGACATTCGGCCGTCCGGCGGGTTTTATGTAACACGACTCGCGTAATCGCGATCTTCCTTCGCCGGCGTAAACGACACCGGAGAAGGATACGACCTCAAAGATGGCCTCTCCCCGCTGCTGTCAAATTCGCGGCACTTCTGAAAACACGCCGGGACAGGACGAGACGATGTTCCTTCCGTTTGCCTCGTGCCTCGAATAATTAATAATTGACAATCCAATTGTATATATACTCACGATAACGAGGACGAAGGTAGTCGAAGAATCTGCGAGCGGCGAGAATCCAGGGTTAAGTGAGGCGGGGATTCTACCACCTGATGTGATGATTCTGACGAGCACCGTCCAGCTACACGCCACTTGCTGCTCGATTCGCGTGCGCCGTTGGCAGAATGGTTTCGTGCGTTTCCCAAACAAACGCGATCGTGAACGCGAACGCGGATTCGAGATCATTCGAGGCGTACGTCGTTGCGCCGGGAGAAACCGCGGCTACCACCGACACCGTAAACAGTCGTGTGTTGACTCGACCCAGGACACGGCACGTATTCGATCGGCCGCGATCAGTTGTCGTAAACACTGGTCGCCATGCTGCCAAGGCACCTGTCAATACGAGCGCGACGCAGCGCCATCTTGCGCACGACAAATCCAGCCGCTGGCGCCGTGCGCCGTGTGCGATGATGGCGATCAACCGTCGGACGCATTATCAACACGATTGCCTAAACATGATTACTCGCTACTCAGTATCAATCGATATTTTTTTCTAATCTAATCTAATTCGAATATATGAAAATATCGAATACAAAATTTTGATTGAAAAATCGACTACATATTTTTTTATT